ACTGTAATAGTTAATACAAAGCAAAAGTAAAATAGCAATTGTGATATTTGTGATACAGTTATATACACTCCTTGATATTTGTAAAATTTTCTAGGTAGTCAAATGAAAATGATGGTTCATTCATTCAGTAATTTATTCAATAAATATTTATTAGGTCCCATTATGCACAGTACATTTGTATGAGATACAGGTATGAATAAGGCAATGCTTTCTTTCAAATAACTCACAATTAAATGGGGTTAGTAAGCCACACATGTATGTACAAGTGAGTATGCACAAGCACATTTTGTGTGTCAACCTCTTTCAGGATAAAGATAATAATGAAAATAGAGGTACTTATTATTTTTATGATCCAGTCACTGTCAAGCAAGTAATCTATCCCAATACAGCCCTACCAAACTAGGAGTTATTATGATGGCTACTCTTGCAGATGAGAACTTGAGGATTAATAAGGTTATGTGATCCGAGCCACAAAGCTTGGAAGTTGCAGAGTGAGGACTAAATATATCTATTTGACTTCAAAGCCAAATCTCTGCTACTGTGTCATCTCTCATTTCAAGGTGCCTATAAAATGCCATTATGCACATACACACATGAAGCACAATGCAGACTCATAAGAAAGGGGTATTGTTTCTGTTGGTAGGATATCTGGAAAATTTTATGTGAGGGTTGTACTGTCTTTGAATCTGTAGGATTATAAAAAAGTAATAGCTGAAAAGGTATTGTTTTCCACTGCACAAATAAGGCAAGTGAGGCCGACAGCAGTCATATCTACTAAATGAACCAGTGAGAGAAACAGAATTGGAATTCAGGGCTATTTGATTTTAGAGGCTAAATTCTTAAAGAGTACAATGTGCTATATATAATAGGTGGAAGATATGAACAAAAGCATAAAGCATTATTAGGCAATGGTAAATAATTCCACTTGATTGAAATCTTAGACCAGTGTGAGCTTAAAGAGCCCAAAACAGTTGACCATAAAACCTTTAAGACACATAGAAGAGACATTGTGTTAGTCGTTTTTCATTGTTGTTAGAAAATACCTGACAAACAATTTAAAAGGAGTGAACTTTTGTTTTAGTTCATGATTTTAGAGGTTTCAGTCCATGGTCAGTTGGCTGCAGGCCTGTGGCAAGGCAGAGACACTGTTTCAGAAGGGCGTGGCAGAGAAAAGCTGATCACCTGAAGAGAGCCAGATGCAGTGAGAGAAAGAGGAAGGCAGGGAGAGAGGGAGAGAAAGGGAGGCAGGGGAAGAGAGAGAGAGAGACAGAGACAGAGACAAAGAGGGAGAGAGGGAGAGAGGGAGCGAGGGAGGGAAGGAGAGAGAGAACAGAAGGGATGTGAAGGGAAGGGAAGGGAAGGGAAGGGAAAGAGCCCAAGGGGAAGGGGCTGGGAACAATGTACACCCTTCAGTGAACTGCCGGTGACTTGCTTCCTCCACCTGGGCCCCACTGCCTAACGGCCCATTCAGCTGTGAGCTCATCAGTGGATTAACCCATTGACGAGGTTAGTGCCATCATGACTTAATCACCTTCCGAACAGCCATCACCTGGCAAACAGCCCCCAGCACAGGGCCTTTGAAGGACCCTCCAGATCCAAACCACAATAGACATAAGCAGATTTTATTTTTTTTAAGAAAGAAAGAGCTTGAGGAAGCTCACAGTATAACTAGGTTTAATAATTGCAAGGTCATTAAGAAAAATAGAAAGAAATGAAATGTTGATCTAAGTCTTAGCCAGGTATGTAATGGTTTATAGTACTATGCTGTATCATCAGTGGTGTGCTAACCTCTAACTAAGCCTAAACTGGTAAAGGAGAAGCCTCTGATCATTTTGTGGATAGCAGGGATAGAGCATTGTACAGAACTTTGTTAGACTAAGATTTTAGACTTCTCAAGATTTTTTTTTTCACTGAGAGAATCTGATGGAGAAAAAATGTCAGTGTAATTGAAACCTTTTATTACTGATTGGAGAAACATGTATTTATGAAAATATGAGCTGCTATGTACCAAGTTACAGAAGATTTCACTGGCTGTCACAGATGGCAAAATGTTCTGAGGAGTATCATGTAGCAGAAACGTTAAAAAGATATCCCTTCTTTTAAGTTGCAACTACATCAGCTTGGTTTTTCTAGATATTGTGTTTTGTAGGGTGTTGTGCCAAATGAGAGGTCACACTACAGTGATTAAGAGGACTAAGGTCTAGAGGCTGGAATAAGTCTGGCAGTCTGAGTTGTATTTCTTTTTCTGCCACTTACTAGCTTTGTGACCTTGGGATTTCTTTGACATCTCTACTTTAGTTTCCCCACTTATGAAAGGATGTTTTATGGATTAAAATAATAAAAAATAGTCCTCTGACATTAAAAGTTGCTTACTAAGCTCTTAGTGTACTGATTTCCATAATGGTTGTACTAGTTTACATTGCTACCAGCAAACTAGGAGGTTCCTTTTTCACCACAGCCATGCTAGCATTTGTTATTCTTTGACTTCTTGATAATTGCCCTTCTTCTTTCTGCTATAACATGAAATCTTAGCATTATTCTAATTTGCCTTTCTCAAAATGGCCAGAGATATTGAACATTTTTTCATGTTTGTTGGCCATTCGTCCTTCTGAGAAGTATCTGTTCATTTCACTTGCACATTTCTTGGTGGAGTCTTTTATTTTGGGTAATCTAATTCGTTTGAGTTCTTTATATATTCTAGGTATTGTCCTCTAAAATATATAAATTTTAGAGATAGCCAGCAAAATTTCTCTTCCCACTTTGTAGGTTATCTCTTCACTCTGTTGGTCATTTGCTTGGCTGTATAGAGGTTTTAAAATTTTATATAATCTCATTGGTTGGTTCTTGCTATTATTTCTTGTGCAGGTGGAGTTCTGTTCAGAAAGTCCTTGCCTACACCTATGTCTTCAAGTGTTTCACCTACTTTATCTCCCTGTAGGTTCAACATTTTTGTCTTAATGTTTAAATCTCTGATCCATTTTGATTTTAGTTTAGTACATGGTGAAAGATATGGGTCCAGCTCCAATCTTCTGAAAATATATAGCCAATTATCCCAGAACCATTGTTGAATAGACTGGCTATCTTTCCTGTAACATAGGTTTTTGGCCTGTGTCAAAGATTAGGTATCTGAAGGTGTTTGGGGATGTTTCTGTCTCCTCTATTCTGTTCCATTGACCCACATATCTGTATTTGTGCCATTTTTGTCACTATTGCTTTGTGGTATAATTTGATGTCAGTTATTGTGATGCCTCCTGCTTTGCTCTTGTTGCCCAAGATGCTTTTGCTATTCTGGGTCTCTTCTGGTTCCATATGAATTTTAGGATTGACTTACCTACTTCCATGAGGAATACTATTGGTATTTTGATTGTAATTGCATTGGATTTATATCACAAAATATTGAGAGTGTGGCCATTTTTACAATACTGGGTCTGCCTATCCAGGAGCAAGGAATGTCTTTCCATTTTCTGATGTCCTCTTCAACCTCCTTCTTTAAGACTGCTGTAGTTCCATTGTAGAGGCTCCTTGGTTAGGTTAATTACTAGGTGTTTAACTTTTCCTGATGCTGTTGTGAACGGTAGTGTTTTCATCATTTCTTTTTCACTGTGTTCATTATTGGTGTTCATGAATGTTATTGATGTTTTTGTATCCTGCTACATTGTTGAAATTGGTTATTAGTTCCAAGAGTATTTTGGTGGAATTCTTTGGGTCTTGTGTACAGTATCATGTCATTTGCAAACAATGATAATGTGACTTCTTCCCTTCATATATGTATGTCTTTTATTTCTTACTCTTGCTTGATTGCCTGGTTAATGTTCGAGTACTATGTTGAAAAAAGTGGTGGATTAAGTCCTTATTCTCTTAACATGTTGCAATGGGCATTAAAGTCTAAAATATTCAAACTCCAAAATATTCAAACTCCCGAATATTCAATAGCAGGGGTCACTTTTTCTACAGAGAAGTGTGTAAACCCAGCTGTCCTGTTTCCTAAGGCAAATATGAGAAGGAAGTGGGTAGGTTGGGAATCGTCACTTACTACATACAGGTGTTAACTTAATTGCCTGCTTTTAGAGAGGCATCTCTGTGCTCAGAGTATGTGGATTCTTAAATTCATAATCCCTTTGTTTCAATGCACATAGAAAATAAAACTCTAATGTTTTGCCAGTGGTTCAGGTTTAGTTTCACTGTTGAGTGGGAAGATGTGTGAGTATAGGGGACTAATTCCTTCTCACAGGTTTCTAGCCCCAGCTACACACTGTCCCTCTGCTGGTAGCCAATCCCTCCAACGCTTCTTCCTCAGAAACACTTCACATTCTCAAGTTTAGGCCGGATACATACCACCTACCCAGCTCTTATCCAAGAGTTACACATCATTGTTTGAGAGTTTTCTTGTTATTGCTTAACTGCTCGCATCTCTCCTGTTGTCCTTGTCCTTGTAGTTTAAACATTTTTATAAATCCTTTACTGTCACTCTCCTGGACTTTGACAAGTAACAAAAAGAAATTTTTATAGTTAACATGGAAGTCTTGTTATAAACTTTAAAAATGTTGCCCCTGTTACATGTATGATGTAAAATTTTGTGACGTTTACTTCTGGTGGGAGAGTAAAGAAAGAGTTTTTAGCAATTCCTGTTTCATTCAATTTCATGTTGTCCCTCTAATTGCATTTTCCTTTGCTTTTCTTCTAAGCTTAAATTCTTGATGAGCCATGAATTTTTTTTCTTCGTTTTTGCTATTCAAATATTTTCTTGGGTCATTATGCTCTGGTCTTCATTACAAACTTCATGGTTTCTTGTCTTTCTCATCCAGTTTTTTCCTTTGCAACACAAGTAGAACAATATGTATCTTTGGTTCAGTCATGGCACAGTCAGATAACTATGCCTAGAAGTGAGGTAACTTTTGCTTGCTAAGATACAGTACAAATAATATATGGAATTTTATTGATGCTAAGATATCTAAATAACATTGATATAATATATTGGTATAATATAAATTTGATTTCAGAGAACTTCATCTACAATAAATTTGTCACCAGGAGAAGTGGAAGAAGATGATGATGATGAGAACACTTGTGGGCCCTCAGGACTCTGGGAAGCACTAACTCCTTGTAATGGATGTCGGAACCTTGGCTTTCCCATGCTTGCGCAGGTAAAGGTTTGCTTTTATTAAGGTACAGTTGAACTTAAAAATGGTTGCCTGTGTTTTTAAGGTCAACCACTTCTCCCTCAAAAATTCAGTTATCTTGTCCACTTTGTAAGTTTTCTTCAGTTAACTTGCTGTGGATGTGTGTGAATATGTAAAGACATAGTTTACATAATTTTTATTTAAAAATATTTGGTTATGATAAAGTATATCATGTTATAAGGTTTTTGAATACTTATGATCCAGAAATGTGCTATTAAAAATAAAAGGTCATGTAAAGAGAGTTACAAGTAAATATATTAGGATTGTTTAAGGGCAAGCCAATTATGTATATGTATATGTATTTTTTTTTCAGCGCAATGTAACATTATAGAATAATGTGAATATGTATCCTGCCAGGGATTTTGAGTATAATCCCGAAATGAGAGCAAGACACTAAAACATTGCCTATAAGTTTGAAATCATTTCACTATTCATTAAGTTAACTTTAATTCTATTATATTACCTTCAAATTTCTGTTGTGTTCTATGGATCATAAACCCAGAGAGGAACTGCAGAAATGAGCAAAATATTTGTTAGCAAATTTGAAGATGCAGTAAAAATTTCTACACAAGATGAGAAAGAACGTAATACAAAAGAATTTAATATTAAAAGGTTATTTACATAGAGCATGTGTGGAAAAAATAGGCTAGGACGGGTAATAATTCACAGTGATTGTCCAGAAAAGTGTTATATCTCAAAATTTTTTCGGTTTTCAACAAATATGAAGTGTTTGAATTGTTGACTTCATGTCAGAATCATAGCCACTCAAATGCCAATATTAATTTTTTGTTGAAAGCTAAATTAGTTATTCAGAGAAATACATAGCACTTAAAAATCTCTTCATAGGATTTTAAGGTAGTTTATTTTAATGTTTACAGAATTTTTGTCAATATATCCATAAAGGTGGAAACCCAATCCTTTGATTCTCAAAATCTGTGGTCAATAGCTGCACATTTCCTTGTATACAGTCAGAATAGTTGAGTGAGTCAATGCACAATATTTATTTTCTAAGGTTTCTTGTTTCCACTTTAAATTTTTTGCCCATAGTATAGAGTTTTTACCTTATATCTACTTAGATAAAATGTAAAAAAGACTAACAAGCATAAGTTTTATTTTATTTGTATGCTCTTATGTTCTTATAATATTGAATGTATTTATTTATTTCTTAATAAAATTAATGTCTTTGTAAGAATATATATTTTAATCATTACTGTAAGATATAATAGAAAGTAGAATTCTTGGAACAAAGTAAAATATTAAGGATTCTTACTATAGCCATTAGACTGCTTTGCTAATCTAAAGATCATCAATAATATTACATCTACTTCTTGAAGACTTTACTAATATTTACATTTTAACTTTCAAAATTTTATTATTTTATTAGGTTTGCTAGTGACTTGCTTTTGCTTTATAATTTTTTAATATTACATTTTTATCTTTTGCTCTTTTTCTGTAGAGACTGGTATTGCTTCTATAAATTTATTACTTCCTCAAATATTTTAGGTATTTATAGGTTTTAGTAGTTATATTTGCCACAAAATGTTTTTGGGTCTGTAGCTTTTCTTTAGTCTTTGTATATGTGTGTGTGTGTGTGTGTGTGTGAGTGCAAGCATAGGTATGTTGTATAATTTTCTTAAGTATCAAACTCATTGTTTGTTATTTTTTTCTCTTTAAAAAATTCATTTAGGTTCTCAAAGCTACTTTTAGTTTAATATATAGTATCTTATTTAGGATTTTTTAAAGTCTGAATTACAAATGCGACTCTATATTGATTTTCACTTACTGTTATCTAATTTTTCTAGGACTTCACATTGAGTAATAACTCATACTCTTCTAATCATATTTCATCCTGTATATTTTGGATCTACTTCTGAAATCTTGTTTATTTTTGCTTTCTTAATATGTAAGCAACATGACTCAGCATTTACATTATTACTTTGTGTTATACTTTCAACCTATTAGCTGACTTGAATGCTTACTTTCTAAAATTTATATTTTATAATTACTATGTCAAGTTTTAAAAGTATGCCTATTAGGATTTAAAATATATATGTATTTATATTTCAGACTGTTCTTAAGGTAATACTTCTGCCTCAGTCACTGGAGTGCTGGGATTATAGTCATGAACCACCACACCTGGGTACTCTATTCAGTATAGAAATTTACCTCAGATAAAGTAGTCTTTCTTTAATCTAGATTTAACCTAACAAATGAAGAGAGGGATTCTTTTACTAATGTTCTTCTCACTATGAATTCTTAAAAATGTGTGTATGTATTTCTGGGATTATTACTGTTTGTGGGATCTCTTTGGGCATGTGTGTGTATTTATCTACCATGTATGTGTATATTTTAATTGCAAACTTATATTGAGAAGTTTTATAGTTTTGTGATTAAGAATATACATACATAAGTATTTATGTCTACAAAACCTGAAGCATCTTTGAACTTGACTTATTTAGTTTACTGTTAAGGATTTTCTGGACATAATGGTTCAGCCATTCACAAACAGTAATTTTAAGATCTAATTTTATTATTCACTTTTAATTCATTTAATATTTTGCATACTGTTTGATGAAAAGAGGTGATCAGATATCTGTTGTTTTAGAATTTTGAGAAAACTGTAATAATATCTGGTGATAATGAGCATCAGGATTTGTAATCAGAAGTAGAATGAAACAATACGTAACAGAAGAATTTAAATTTAAAAAGAGATTGATTCAGTGCTCTTAATAATCCTCCATTAAGTGACTAGTCAAGGACTTCAATGTGGGAAGTGTACTTGAATAGTCCTTGAATACAAAGACAGTGAGTTCCTTCCTACAAAGAACTTACAGTATCATTTTAAAATTTGTTAAGGGACTTATCAGCATCTAATGAAATGTATTGAAATGAAATTTCACATCATAACAAACAATTTTTACTGTAAAAATTTGAAGGTTTTTTGAATATTTTCATTTGAAAGTATTCACCCCAAACTAATCCATTTTATGAGTAGATGCAATTTCTCAATAATATAATCTTAGAATTTACAAAACTAAAAATCCAAGCTGCAAAATAGTTTTCATATTTGGAAGGCATTTCTTCATGTCTCAAACATATTTGGAGACCACAAGAAATCAGTAAGCTATAAGCATTATGTGTTTAAAGCTTCATGGTAAGTCATTTCCTTCTGGTCTGCTTATAGGAGCCTGTGGGATTAGTGTGACTAATATGGTTGTATGTAAATTTTTATAAACCCAGATTTTTAACGTTAAAATATTGTATTTTGCATTAATATCTCTTTCTTTAATGGAATATGATAAATATTTACCAAATATCTTTTATATTCAAAGCATAGTAATAACCTTCAGAATGTATGAATATGTGGAAAAATATAAATTTAATTGGGAGCCAGATTATCCTGGATACTGGTGTATCATTTTTAGACTGAGACAAAGTGTTCACTTGCAGAATTAGAACATTGGCCTAATTTCCAGTTTTTGCTAGATTTTGAATTGATCCTGCATTCAGATCTCTTCTTCTGTCTGTCTCCAAGAATACTAAAATTGCAATGAATAGGCTAAAAGATGGGCACTTTGGTGTTCATGCTTATGAATATATTATACAACATTTTGTCCTTTCATTGTGATTAGACTGAAATTGCCCCAAGAAATTCTTTTCAAACTCATGAAAATTTAGATTTCTAAATATCATTAGGAGACTAAAATTCTTAGAAAATACTAAGATTTAACATCAATAGAAATTTTATACAATAATTTCAAAGCAGTTAAGTAAGACTTAAATTGGACAAAAAGTAGAAGGGCATGATTTTTTTGAGTTCTTTATATATTCTAGATATTAGTCTTTTGCCTGAGGAACAACTGGCAAAAGTTTTTCTGTGGGTTGTCTTTTCACTTTGTTCATGATTTCTTTTGCTGTGCAAAAGCTTTTTAATAAGATGAAGTCCTAGTTGTTGATTCTTTGTAATATAACCAGTGCGATTGGGGTCTGTTCATAAAGTCTTTACCTACACTTGTCTTGAAGAGTTCTACCTATTCTCTCTGCCAGCAGATTTATTGTTTTTGTTTTGATATTTAGATCTTCCATTTATTTTGATTTTAGTGCTGCGAATGGTGAGAGACATGGGTCTAGTTTTAGTCTTCAGCATGTGGAAAGCCAGTTTCTCCAGCATCATTTATTAAAGAGGCTATCTTTCTTCCAGTGAATGTGTTTGGTCCTTTTGTCCAAGATAAGGTGGCTGAGTGGTTTGGAGTTGTTTGTGCATCTTCTAATCTGTTCCACTGATCCTTGGGTTTGTTTTTTTTTTGCCACTACCATGCTGGTTTTTTTTTTTTGTTGTTGTTTTTTTAATAGCTTTGTACTGTAGCTTTGTACTGTAATTTCAAATCAGGGATTGTGATGTCTCCTATCTTGCCTTTGTTGCCTGGAAATGTTTTTGCTATTCTAGGAATTTTGTGGCTCTAAATAAATTTTAGGGTTGTTTTCTCTACATCTATGAGGTATATCATCAGCATTTAGATCAGGACTGCATTAAATCTGTGTAACAATTTTGGGAGTGTGACCATTTTCACTGTGTTGGTCTTTCCTACCCAAGAATAAGGGATATCTTTTCATTTTCTGATATCCTCTTTAATCTCCTTTTTCTAGAATATATAAACAACTCAAGAAAATCAGATCTTCTCAAATTTAAAGACCCAATCAAAAAATGGGCATCTGAGATGAATACACACTTCTCAGATGAAGAAGTATGAACAGAAAATAAATATGTTGAAAAAATGTTCAATATTACTGGTCATTTGAGAGATACAAATTGAAACAATGATGAGATTCCATTTCATTCCAGAAAAAATGGCTGTTATCAAGAAATCAACCAATAACAACTGCTGACAAGGCTTTGGGGAAAAAGTAATGCTTCCCCACTGTTGGTGGGAGTGTAGACTGGTGCAACCACTGTGGAGATCACT